CACTGGTAATTTACCAACTGTTCCCATAGTCCTCACTGCAAAACCATGAGTAGAAGTGTTTGAAAACTGTAGAAGGGTCTGAAATTCTGGGTCTGTACCCATCTGATGAACAAAGGATACACAGAGTGAGAAAAGGTGGGCTCTCTGCCACTAGCTCAGGGGCGTCCTCATGATCAGCGGAATTCCAGAGCTGCTGTGGATCAGTAGTTGTTCTGCACAGTCTTCACAGCTTTTTCTTCAACTTGTCCATCTCCTCAGGCTTTTACTTGCTTTGGGGGCATGCAGTTTATCTTTTAGGTAGTTAGAACAGAAAACTAGCAAGTACAAATTTTGTATTGGTAAGATTACATACTACCAGACACACAGGTTGAATTTTAAATTGAATAGCATTTCTAGAGAAACCGGGGATTTCTCTACTGCAATAGAGCTAATTACAGCATACTTTTTCTAAAAAGGACATGGATAAGCAGCCACTGCATGGGCCACAGCCAATTAACTTGGTTGGGTTTCCATCCAAATGCCCATTTCTCTCCTTATCAAAGAACCTAATTTTAATTAATTGATAATGAACTTAAACAAAAGTCTCTACTTCTCAGCAATATGAGCTGCTTCCTTCCTGATTGAGACACTTCTGGTTATTGAGAAAAGTTAAAAGTGTGCTTTTGTGGGCAATATGACTTTTCTGATGCTATAAATAATTTCCAAAGATAGATCCCATAAATTCTTTTCCTTTATTCATGTTTGCAATCCCCCTGGAATCAAGACTTGGGGTTTAGTTTCTTCTTAAATCTGGGGATGGATTAATGAGTAATTTCACTTATAGATGTCAGCAGACATTAAACTTTGGACTTCTGAGACTACCCTTCAGAGGCAGAACATTTAGTGGTAACATGCTCAAGAAATGCAGAGAACAGTTGAGTATAATGGTTCGCACTTAGAATCACAGCACTCTGAAGGCTGGTGCAGAAGGACTGCCATATCTTAGACATCACCCTAGGCTATCTACTGAGCCCTAGGCTAGCTTCAGTGTCAGTCAGTGTGAGACAGCATCTCAAAAACAAACAAAAATGTAGAAAATTTCAAACAAATTATTTACCAGGGAGAATGGTAAAAGTGCCAATTTGTTTCTGGTAGGTCACAATATAATGTTAACATAGAATGAGAAAAGACAACACTCAGTAATTTTCTGGAGAATTTAGAAGACAAAAAACAAAGGAAATACTTGGTTCAAAAATTGAACTTTATCAACCCCAGTTTTTCCAGGTACAACACATTTTCTTAAAATAAGTAGCCTCAGGGCTAAACTCAATCGTAGGCTGTTTCCAGTAAAGCATAACACTATAACATTAGGTGAAGGTTCCATTCAATGGTGCACCCAGAAAAGCCTTTAATGGCACCTCCAAACCAGGCAAGGTTATAAGCAAAAAAACTAAATAAATACAAGCTCTTATAGATATTAATAGGTATTCTACAGACATTTTCAAACAGACAATACATTAAGACCCTAAGCTCCCCAAAAGAGATGCCCTCTGAGGACCAACAAAATCCATGAGGATAACATTGCTTAGGGGGTAAGTTCCTATGAGAATAAATGCTAAGGCATGGAAGGAGACCAAAGTTTAACAAAAGGCTAAATTCCTATGAGCAATAGCTAATTTGAACAAGTATTCAAAAGTAAACACATTTCTTATTGAAAAGAAAGGGCAACTTAGAGCCTAGTGCCAAGAGCCCAAGGGCTGAACCATGTGGAAGAGACTCATTTCCCTGGAGCAAACTGGGAACCAATCAAAGAGGAGGTGACCTGTGCTCAGCAAGAATGAGATGGGTGGAGCTGATAAATGAGTACTTTATAGGCCTGTGTTACTAGGAGGTCAAACAGCAAATGCTTTCACCACAAAATGTTAAATATTAGATTCAACTTATTAATTCAGTATTGCATTTATCCAAATACCACTCAGTATTCCATACACACAAATATAATTTATCTGGGCTTCTATTTTTATTTAATTTTATGTGTATGAGCGTATTGCCTGCATGTAAGTGTACCCATGCCATTTAAAGCCTTCAGAAGCCAGAAGAGGGCATCAGATCACCTAGAATTAAAGTTATGTATGGTTGTTAGTCTCCACGTGGGTGTTAGGATTCAAACCTGGGCCCTCTGGAAGAGCAGCCAGTGCTCTTAACTGCTGAGCCATCTCTCTAGCTCCAATTTACCGGGATTTTTAGTGCTACGATTTTATTATACCTCCAGGCTGAACCCACTCCTTTTACAAAATGTGAATTTTTAATGAATTTCAAATCTATCACCCTTATAATATCCACTGTTGAGCAAATGTCTCCTTAGTTCATACCTCTTCTGTTAATTCATTTTGATAAACTGAATCTAAGTTGGCTTGCTATCTTCCCTTGAAATTCAAATTTGTAACTCCTAGACTTCAATCTAAGTTCTAAATGGGATATAATTTGGAGGACATTTGAGAAAGATGTTTATTTTGCTCATAGGTAGGGGGTTCATGAATATTGTTAGCCAGACAGACTAGTGGTCTCCAAAGCTGGCCACCATTGGGTTCTGGCCTCTGTATGTATGTGTTGCTTCTCACGTGATGAAGTAGGCTCTGGTTTCCTTTTTTCGAATATGAATTAATCTTAGTATTGTGCTTGGCCACTAGCATTTGAGAGCCAACATACACACACATCTGAAATGAAATCCTTAGCATTTGTTTTCACCCATTTCCTTACAGTGATCTCTCTCAGAATCCATTTGCCACATGCATGTATAGGCATTTTAGCTAACTCTCTACCAACAGCCAACATCAGCTCCCTGACACAAAGAGGAAGCTACTTTGGAGATTCAGTCAAGGTGAACCTCCAGATAACTTCCCCCAGGCACAATCTGATGGCACTTAATGAAATACTCAAGGTGAGGAAAGCCAGTGGACTCTTGTCAATACACAAAACAGAATGTGGTGACATGAACATTTTAAAAATACTAAGTCTTGATGGATTTGTTTGAATATGTCTAGGTTATACTTCATTAACATACAATCATTTTTCTTTTAGTCTTTACTTCTTTGCTTTTGCAAACAAAGACTTGCTGTCTGGACCTGATCTTGAGACCTTGAAAGGAATATGAAGATATTTTAGGAAACTTGCCCCTGGCTTGCTTTATCTAAAGGAAGCCCAATAATCACAAGCTTCCTAACCACAAGAGATTAGAAAATATATTACTTGGTTTTGGTTAATGAATACCATACACCAAACTGACACTCCAGGGAAGGAAACATGTAAAGCAATGCAATAGTATTTTATAATTTGCTAAACAGAAGATGCTAGTCATTATTCAAGTTTTGTGGACAAGGAAAAAGTTCAGATATATAATTACAAAATTTTGAGAATATATAAAGGAGATCTGGAAACAAGCAAGCAAACAAACAAAAAGCACAGAGGGCCACAAACACAAAAAGAGACAAGGAAAACAAAAGTAGTATGAAAAGCCAAAAGAATATTTCCCTTAAAAGCAACGTGGACATTATCTGTGGCAGGGACATTACTTTTTTGTTTTGTTCTTTTTGAGACAGGGTCACCCTGTAGCCCCAGCTGGCCTGGATTCGCTATGGAGACCAGATTGGCCTTGAACTCCCAGAGATCCACCTGCCTCTGCCTCCCAAGTGCTGGGATTAAAGGCATGCGCCACAGCACCTGGTGAATGGACATTAGCTTTAAGGTTCCTTATTATTAGAAATCTTATTCTTTGATAGATTTTATTCTCTTTAATTTTAATGCAAAAAAGTAGCTTATATTAGTTGTTACATGAATTTCCACCATACCTCTGATATTGTATTTGTAGTAATTTTCCCATATCCCATAGGTATATGAATTAATAATATTAAAATAAGGGAATTTTATATAAGAGGTCTGGAGTCTTATTCTTCTTTCGGAAACTAAAAACTCTAGAAAAATATTTCCTCAGTTTTAGTAAGAGCTGAATGGACCTGAGACCTTTAAAAAAGACGTCTCCCACTCTAGCTGCCTGTTACACTTCACATGTATACACACAGATACACACAAATATGAAGATCATCTGAATCATTGTGAAAGGGTAGCAGACATAACACTATATACATATGACTGACCCTAGAGCTTCCTGATCTTAAGCAAAAGGCACTCCCAGTGAGTTACACCTAGTCGTAATTGGATGGACAAATAGTAGATATTTCCTCCTTGCTAGGGGATTATCTATTGTTGCCTTATTGAACTGGAGTAGCACTAGGGCTGGCTTTGGTCAAACAAAATAGGCAAAATTCAAATTCATATCAAGGCAGAAAGGTATGAATTACGAGTTTGGCAAGTGTGGGCAGTTAGTTAGCTGTAACAGGTTACAGAATTCTCCATCAGCTTTGCTCCAGAGAAAATTTAATAAAGAGCAGAACCAGAGTCCATAGAGTCCACATGCTCTAAGTTAAGAAAAAAATCCTTATTGCAACCCATGGTGATTGGGGATCATCTTAGCTGTGTATGTACTAACCCCTCCTGCCTGTTCCACATTTAAAATGACATCACTGATGTCAGTAAGCAATCAAGTTCATAACCTATGCTTTTTTATCAAGTCCTCTAAATTTTAAAATGTGAAAATCTGAAAGTCTATGGAGCTGAATTTATAGTGAGATACTGAAGTTTGCCTCTGCATAAAGTTCTGACTTCAAAATCAACTGAATTAATTTTTTGGTTTCCTGTTTTCTAACAAGAATTGGTCTTTAAACCACATGATTTTATTTGCCATCAATTCTCTCATTATACTACAAATGTATTTGAAATTCACAGATTTCTAAAATATCAACTTTACTTTGAACCATTTACCCTTGGCCTCACACTCACAGCGACCTCCTGCCTTGGTGCTACTTATGAGACACTGAGATTGCAGGTATGAGCCACTATGCTAGGGAAAAATATACTTTGGCCAAATTTTCAGGAGATCAAATAAAAATACACATATTAATATATAATTATGTAGTACTTAAATTTATTTTGTAAACACACTTCATCTGTACCACTTTAATTTTAAATCATATTTATTGTTTTGCATACAATTACTACTATATTAAAAACTCAAAAACAACACAATACATTTGGCTTCTATTCCCCACAAAAATGGGAAATATATTTTAGTAAAGGAGAATTTTAAATATATTTACACACCAGTTGTTTGTTGCAGTTTAGAGTTCTTAAATTATGAAAACAGCAAAAGTAATTAACAGCAAATAATTCGTATATAAAAGAAAACAAACTACAATACAGTAAGAAAGGAAAAACACCCTTCAGAAAATGCCATTTTAAAGAAATTTTCAAACAGAAAACATACAGTATAGTCTTCCCTAACAATGGTGCCCATTATAGAGCACTTCTGTACATATAAGGATATAAGAAAATGATACAATACTTATTGCCACAACAACAACGTAAAGGTTGTCAAAATGTATGCAGCTTAAATACCCCTCCCCTTGATATAGTGGCTTCTTATTCCTTAAACTAGAAATTCTGCTCTTCATGGTGGAGAAATGAGGTCTTCTCATCAAAGGCACATTCTCATCTGTAAGAAAAATAAATAAAAAAATGATCCTTCTGCAGCAAGTCTAAGCACTCTAAACAGCAGTTTTGAGGATAAAAACAAAATAGTTAAAGAAGCTGTGATGAAGGATAACAATGAAACACATAATCACAATGTATTTATCAATCATTTTGGATATTATATTTGAACTGTAAATCAAATTTTTAAAAAGAATTTAATGATGTTGTAATGAAGCCTATGTTTAAACTTAGGATAATGTTATGTACCTACATAATAGCAATAAATTCTTCAATAGATATTAAGCAATATAACTATTTCTATAGTTTCTATAAATACAACTCTTTAATCCTACTTCCAAGTACAAGGAACCTAGGGGATAAAGGGAAAGAAGGAGCTCAAGAGAGGTAGGACCACAGGAGAAGGGTATTAGTAAGGGAGAAAGGGGGGAAATGGGGGCACCTTAAGTGGGAAAACCATGATGGAGGGGTGAAACAA